CGTCGACCGAAAACCTACTTGGCCTCCAGTGTTGCCTTTGTAATACCGACAGGTAGGAGGTACGGTACTTCTCAAGCCATATCACTCTTCTGGTATGTACCTTGTGCTACCACGTGGATCGAAGAAGCCATCCGATTGGCTGAGAAATCTGGAAAGCTTTTTGCAGCTTTTCAGTCGACGCACACCCTTATGGGGGAGTTCCTCAGTCAGGGGCCTTCGCCAGTTTGAAGAAGCTCCCTTTTGCGCTCTTAATCGGCCCTACTAATCTCAAGCCCCGAGAAACTCTGGCAACAGGAAATTTCGATCAATCTCTCATCTTCTGTTGACCTCTATTTGCGTCTGAAGCAAGCACTCTAGCGAACAGCGAAGCTGAGTAGATAGCCTCCTTTTTCCGGGTCTTTGAATGATTCGGGAGATAGGCCAGAAGAACCGCTGTTTTTCCATTTTTTTTTTATTCTGAATATACACTGCTGTGTCTGTGCAGTATGCTGAGGTCAACCGAGACTTCGTAGTGCTCGTCTCTGCGGTAAGCGAGCAAACCAACCTTTTTCTAGCCTCCTTATATCTGATGTCCCCAAAGGCGATAACTTTCGGTAACCCTTCAAGAAAGGCCTTCAGCATATTGTAGGATCAGGCGAGGCGCCATCCCAAAAGCAGGGTCGCATGACCCCACGTTACTGTCCGCCCCATAACCCAAAAGATCGTGAGACGCTCGCAAAAGTCGCTCCGCTTTGGTGTTATGCGTCTCGAACGGAACACAATCACTTCGGAGTAGCATTCCCTTTATCGAATTGGGGGTTTGGTTTTCGAGCGTTCAGCAACGAGTGCACTGATGACTGTCGCGCGGAAAGGAGACCACGGGAGACGCCTAGGCAAAAGGTCAATCACCAGCGTCTCTCCAGGCATGTTACCTCTTAAGAAGGGAATCGTGAAAATGGGAAAAGAAGGGCGAGTCACCGACGTCAATTTTCGTGTGCAGGACGTCAGCCGTGACGTCATCCGGCAGCTGGAGGAGGAGTGCGTGGTGGTGCTGCGCGTGGACCCCCGCGCGAGCGCCAAGGGGCAGCGCCTGCAGCGTATGAGCGCGCGCTACGAGTCGGGCTACTGGCAGATCAAGATGCACATCTGGAGGCTGGCACAGTACGAAAAGGTACGTCGCAGCTTTGGATGGTTTCGTTGCTTTCAATAGCCTTATTTTGATGTTGGACTACGTCTTTTTCTCAACGATATCTCAGGAAAGCTACAGGCTCGAGCTTGAGAACGAAACACTCCTAATGTTCTTCAGGAGCGTGCCGAATAAGGCAATTGGAGTTGCAACTCTGAAGAAAGGGTTGCAGTAAATTTCCTTGTTTCTTCCAACAGTAAGCCTTATAATGACGAAAGGACGCGCCGTAACCAGCTAACCTCCTCAATGGTCTTTGAGGGGCCATACTGAGCACATAATCAGCATTCTCTACGATCAGTGGCTTTTCTCAAAATCAATCAATTCTAACGAACGGAAGTCTTCCCTCCTGACAGATTGTCTACATGGACGGGGACATCTTCATGCGGCAAAATGCGGACGCCCTGTTCTGTGCACACATCCCGAAAGGCGCCGTGTTTGCCGCCGTCCCCAAGAGTCCCAAGAACAAAACTGTGAGCGCCCGAAATTCATACCCAGTCTTGGAGCTCTGTTTTGAGAGCAGTGAGCTTCACGCGAATCTGGCACCTGCTTACTCTGCTTGAAGGAGTGTTCGAGACGTAATCCAGAGTGTGCATCTTAGCTTTCAACGTTCTCTTTAGTGGACGCATTGCACTTGGGTGCGATGGGGTGCCACGAATGCTCGTAATTTCGGAAATGTTCTCAGAGTCAGATCTCGCCCACCTTTAGATGCCTCGAAACACGCAAACATCCGCAGACCTTGAAGTTAAGAGCTGGGAAAGTCGGTGATCCTCGTAAGGTTACCAATCTGTGACTTTTTAGAGGCTCAAGTTGCTCATGTTTTCAATTAGAGTGCATACACAAACTTGACCCAACCGTGGACCCTTGATTGCGAACCTGTCTCGTCACCTCTGCAGGCGGGCTTCAATGCGGGGACCTTCGTGCTCCGCCCCAGCCTCCAGGTCAGCGATCTTCGCTCGTCGCCTTCTTTTCCGCTCGCTTTTACCACTGATTTCATCGAATCCGACGGAACTCGGCGCGGTTCACACTTCCCTACTGTCGACCGTCGATCGCGGTTCATCCGACGGTCAAAATTTGAACTTTCGACCCACACCGCCGGTCGCTCGAACCGGGGTACATAAGCCGCGACCCGGCCCCTGTTTCCTCACTTACCTGGCCGGGGTCAATCTGTGATCAAGAAGGCGGATGGCCTGGGACGAGCTGCTTCCATTGCACTCCGGTCGCGGTGAATCCCAGTAACACCCTACGGGGTGTCTACACGGCACAATTTGTGGCAGCGGGGGCTCGCGTTCGCGCGGCCCCTGCCCAACACCCTCACCCTCTTCATCAAAACAAACACCCTCCATAGGATACACCCCCTCCCCAATCTTCCAATCTGACACATTTTACCCCCTCGCTTTATCACCTCGCGCCGCCCTCCAATTCCGAATGTTTTCCCCCGCTTATCACTTTCCCCAACACAAACATCTCCCCCAATCCAGGACTCTTCCAAAGTAAACTCACCGCCCCACCCTACCCCTCTGTTTCTACTCTAGCTCCCTTTCCCTATACTAAATGTTGTGAAATTTCCCTTTTGCCTCCTTTCACGCCATGACCCCTCAAAAGGCAGTCATTTGCAGCCTATGTCTTGGGTAAATGCGAGTCTTTGAGTCAGAACATTCAACGCGTGCTTGCAACTTGACTCATGTACACATTCGATCCTATGCTCCTGTCCCTGTATGGTTTGGTGGACATTGATTCGTCTCACATTTCCCCTCTTCCATCATGATGCCGCGCTGAAATACGAGAAATTGTTGTCATCTCACATCCATAAGCGCCCATTCCCAGGAATTTGAAAGATGCGATGACGCGGCAAGCATGCAGCAAGTCCAGACTGTAGATCCATTGTCCACTCTCCAAGCGGTTAGTGATCTGGCAGTCTAATCGGTGCTCCGAACCAGAGTCGGTTCTTGTCAATCGCGCAAAGCCAAGTTTTTGTCAGCGCTAAAGTGCTTCAATCACGTGCTCGCTTAACCAACGCTACTTGTCTTGTTCAGGTGTTCGATGAGGTACAGGCCCGATTCGACGCCCTGACTGACGAGGAGATGCTCGCGACTTGCGAACAGGTCAGTCGCGGCAATGTCAGAATGTGGCAGTTGACCATGAGAGAGCAAGAGCTGGAACGCATTTGCCGAAGCAAGTCCTGCACAACGTTCTGCAGCCAAAGGGTTTTTGCATGTCCTGCTTTAAGGAGGTGGAGTTTCATTGACTCATCTGACTTAGGGGTCGGAACTTTGTCAAATCGTCGAACTTGGAAGAGTCCTCCCTGATGTCCGGATTTTAACGGCGGTTTGCTGTTTGCACTCAACATCGTTTCCAAGTTGGCGTTTCTGAACCACCTACATGGGATACAATTTCCTTGTAAGCATAGGGGGGTTCTTGTGCTACTTATTCTTGACCTCGACCACCTCTGGCCTTTGTGAATGTCCAGCAGTCTGAGCATACTTCCATCAGATCTCTGGTTTTATTTGGTTGTGCGATAGGACATTCATCAGAGTTTCTCACGACCCCGTCACCAGACTTCATCACCTTCACCGTAGGGCTTTCATCATTCCCTCGACCTTGCTTTGCTTCGCTTTCATTCCCGTACGGTTCAGCTGCAGTACTTCGTCACGGTTGCCTTCCTGCTTGCGCTTATCCGCAGCCCACTTCAAAATTCGAGACCGAGTCTAGCCCAGCAGCAACCCGGGTCCTGGTTCTTCTTCTCCTTTCGGCCCCACAAAACACTCATATCGATCTCCTGCAGCCTTCCGGAGCCGTTCAGCTTACAAACGCATGGTCCTCGAGAACACCCAGAAACCCATTTCGTGTTTCCGATCCGCTCTGCAGGACTTCTTCAACCTAGTTTTTGTGGCTGCTTGAGTGAGTGAGACTTCAGCGTACAAACGCACAATCTTTCAAGTCAGCTCAAGTCCCATTCTGTCTTTCCGTTCGGCTCTGCAGAACTTCCTCAACCTGGTTCTTCCGTGGCTGCTTGAGAAAGTTAGACTTCCGCTTACAGACGCACTTCCATGTCAAGGCAGATCAGATCTCATTCCTTTTTTCCATTCCGCTCTGCAGGACTTCGTCAACCTCGTTTTCCACGGCCGCTTCAGCTACCTGCCGGTGGACTCCGTTCTGAAGCACCGGCGGTGGGTCGCGCACCCGTCCGCGTGGAACGTGTCCCGCGTGTTGGGCTTCCACATGAACGGCCCGCCCAAGCCCTGGGACCCGCAGTGGCTCACCCAGTGCGCGTACCCGCCGCCGCACGGGGAGAAGGTCAAGGTGAGGGAAGAGAAACGACAAAACTTTCTGGACTTGGAAGGGCGAGACAGTAGATTCGCTGACCGGGTATTAAATGCGGATACCCTCTCGCCGCATGGGGAGAAGATCAAGGTTAGCGGGATGACTTGAATGAAAACAACCTCTTGATGGACATACTCGAGCTTTTGATTTGAGAGTGGTTGACGGACCTTTGCGTACTCGGTGCGGGCACGGGGGGAGAATCAAGGTGAGGGGGACAGAGTACAAGATTCTTCGCACATGCGGAAGTTTTCCTAAGTGTTGCTCAGGGGCGAGTTACTTGTTCACGCACGCACAGAAGCGTGAGAAGGAGGGGAAAGGAATTCTCGGATGTCGAAGTTGACGCAAAAGTCCTTCTCAGGTCTTGATACAGAACTCGGCTCGCTTACCTTTTGAGAAACGCAGGCTCACGGGGAAGGGGAGAGGTGCGCGAGACCGGAGGAGCCGCGAAGCGGCGTCCACTTTTGTAGCCGTCTCTGGTCAGGGATCTGCCTGCTCGTCTTATTGTCAGTCGCTTTGCTCCACTTTGCGACGGCTGAAACCACAGCTCTTGCCGCCCTCCTTTTCCAGGAGTACACTCAGCTGTTCACCAACTGGTGGCGTCACTACTACGACATGATCGAGCAGCCGCTGCCGTCCGATCAGCGGCGGATGGCACTGCGCCCGGAGCACGACCCCGATGCCACGTGGCAGCGTTGGGACGAGCGGCGCTTCATCGCGAGCGGGTGCGGGTTCAACGCTTCTGTTGGGAAAGTGGAGGACGATGCGACTGTGCGGTAGCCTGTCGGAAGACGGAGCAGCCGCTATGTTGGGAAGGGAAGCTTGGGAAATGACGCGTTTCCCGCATGAGCGAATGGTTAACAGAAAGCGTTTGCGTTGGAGTGTTCGATTAGACAGGTCACTGGATCACAGGAGTCGCCGAGATCAAGAATACTTGCTTAAGGTCAATCTGCTAACTCAGGATCGTGACTGCTGACGTGTAAGATATGACCGATACGATAGGCTAATAATCTATCGGGAAGTACTATACAGAGGTACAACGTGTCGCTAATGCTTAACGATAAGTTATTTAAAGGTAGACGTACTGCAACAGGTGAACAAATGCTTATACGTTTGTAGTGATTGGATACGAAGATGTGAGGTATTTGCAAACTTGAGATCTGCATTTCAACGGATCCGACAGGAGAATCGATACGTTCATTGCATTGCATGTTATCGCCATCAGCAGGCTACAGCTAGATCCCCATGGAATACATTGCGCCCACTGCTCTGCGGGACGCGTGCGCCCGACCACTTTATCAGTGACGTTGTAGCCGCCAGCGCTGATGCCGTGCGGGCCTGATCGTTGCGAGTGCTAAGTTTAATCAATTACTGATCCGTCTGGCCGTTGGATGGGCGGATCTTGAACGCGGACTTATTGTACAGCTTTAACCTCAACTTAGCGCGGCCTAGATTGACTGCAACACTGCGGACGCCCCGGGCCCGGCGCGCACGACTGCATGTGGTATATATTGTATAAACGTCGGGAATTGCGATTACAATCGATCGCCGCCAGTCTGAGCTCAGCTTTTGAAATTATTCGATGTGAACGGTCATTGAAGGGCCGGTGCAACTGTGTTGCAGTGTTAATTACAATACATCGATCGATGAAACTTAATTATTTCTATATTCTCATTATTGGATCAATCATGCAATGCTGCGCCAATCCGCCCAACATGGCCTGGACATCATGCCTGTGATTGTTTGGAACTCACATTAAATCATTGGCATTGAGCTGCAGTATGCGCACCGTCTACTTTCGAAGATCGTTGTGCACATGGGCACTGCATAGGTAGTCGGTTGAATTGGTTGAAGCGTGCGCTCATGAGTTGATTTGCAGTTTCGACTTCAATTTGAAATTGTAACAAATCAACTTTGAACTTTCCTTCCTGAATATCAGCAAGCATTCATCCTTCAGAATTTACTCAGAACTGTCCGGATATTATCTGGACAGCATGCTTACATCAGTCTTCTAGAGCCAGTCAAATCAACTGGCCGGAAAGTGTTTGCTAAAGAATGTTTGGTCAGCTCGTTTTGAGACCCTTCGAAGCATTTTAAGTGCAAGGGGATCAAAACCATTAGTCAGGTGTGGCGGCCCCCGAGTTCAACTCTGCGAAGCGCATGCTGACCCGAGCCGTGTGTTTCAAGAACTTTTCGGCGCACCTTCTTATACACTTGTCCTCGTCCTTGTCTAGCGTCTTTCTCCGGAACGTATCCACGCAGTTGCTGAAGCATTTCTCCACCAGGTTGTTGTACATACGCAGGCTGCAAACAGAGAAGAACACTTTTCAGAAACTACCGATGGGACGACAAAAGTCATATCGTAGAAAAGCTGACTCATCAGAGGGTGCTTTCAACGGCAGATTTAATAACCTAAAGTGGAGCCCCGCGGCCAGGTATATGGAAGGTATATGGGCAGCAAATAGGGGGCTGATTACAGATACTTTGCTTTCAAGGTGTGACCGGACACTCATCAGGATGTGAAAGTGCCACATCATGGAGCTAACATTATGCAAGACCACTTTAACGTCCCTCGAGAGGTTCATACAGGTCATGAGGAACCGAGTCAAAGCAGATTATCAAAGCAGAGTCCACTTCTGCACCCTGTGATCCTGGGTGAAGCATGAGAAATTCTCCATGTAAAGGGCCAGATTGTGCGTTCCTCTCATGCGATGTACTCAACAAATGCAGCTTCTATCTGTGCTCATCGGTGAAGTAATGGCTGAGAGGTGGCACCAAAAGTAGAATTAACTTGACTGCTCAGAGCACCCCCTGAGGTAAGCAAGAACTTGTCAGGCCAGTTTGACAGGATTGCATTCCTTTTCCACCACTTGCCAAGCCCACCGCCTTTCGAAACCAGAATTCGGAAGCGACGTACTGCTGGAGCAAAAAATGAATTCACTGCCCACCTTCTCGCAGTATGCACTACGCTTACGAAGCCCTCCAACTCACCATACAAACTCCCAACCAGAGAGGGTGTCGCTTCACAAACAAATGGCGGCCCAAAAGCAACATCTCTGACAGCCACAGCTCGTCAATCAATTGCCACCTTACCATCGAACGGAACTCGGCATTTACTAGACATGACTGTGAAAATGCGAGAATCATTCCTACAAAGGTGATCAAAATGCTACAAGCGGTGGCGAACAGAACCAATCCAAGATAGAGTGGCGCAAAAAATATGGCGCAGATCCAATGAATGTGCGAAGCAATGGACGCCACACCTGTCCCGCATCTGCATCTGCTCCACCATCTGCGTCATTTTGATCTTGTCCTCCTCCGCCAGCCCCTCCAATTCGCTGGGATCCATCGTGGCGGATATTATGACCAGATGCTGCAAGTCGCCTCCTGTACAACAAAACTGGTCAAGAGAAACTCTCAGAAACGGTAGAGATCTCTGTCAACAGCGAGACTCCTGATTTCCGAGCTGATCAAAAGAGAAGACTGCTTAACTGCTTTTTTTTTTTTTTTTTTTTCTGCTTCGCCCATTTGCGAGATCAGGATTGCGAAATTCGCTCTGATCTAGTTCGGCCGGTACCTGCTGGCGCATACCAAGATGATCATTGCGTACGGTAGCAGGCACGCCTAGTTACTCATTGGGGGCCCGCTTTTTAGCTCGGTTTTTTTAATTATTAAAAAACGAGCTCTCGTTATTAGAACTGGCGTTTGGTTTTGGGGTAAAGTGGCGCTCCAGACTGGATCACTCAGTTAAGCAGATTTTATGCATCGAACGTGCATTTTGAGTGAGTTCAGGTATGAAATTACTCGACTCCATTTTTCGACGGGTTTTGGAGTTCGATGACGCGAAAATATTTTTGTACGTCCAAATCTCCGCACGTGACCTCTTATACGTGCGGCAAACCCCTGCGATCATGCCCGCGTCCTAGAGCTTGCGGGGACCCGTCGCCCGGCCGCGCGTATCTTGCATCTTGATTGGAAAGCGCAGCCGTCCGATGGCATGTTGTCTACCAGTACGATTACGATTTTGCACGCGGGAAACGGGCAGTGGCAGCCTGCTTATATCAGTACCGGGCAGAATTGTGTCGACTGAGCATCCCGCAACTGACAACCGGTAGCAGGATTCATAGGCCCTAGAGCCCTACAACCACTGATTGTCCATGTGGCGAAATTGTTTTCGGAAATGCGCAAACACTAATTGCTGAAGCGCCAATTCACCCTAATTGGCGAAATTGGCGAAATTATCTGTATGCTTATGCAATTTCGGGCGCCTCAGCCTATGACTTGGTGCCAAAATAGGTGATGGTCTGAGTCCTGACGCTAACCCACCTATCAGCCGCCTCCAAGGCAAAGTGCTCATACAAAGTCAAATTATGTAACTGCGACCGGAGCCCAGAATGTCACTTATTGACACAGGCCTTTTATGCCCACGCGCCTATGCGCGGCCGCGCGGCCGCGCTTAATTTCGCCAAGCTGCGCAAACTCCTCCGTTTGCGCGAATATGCGCAAACTACTGCGCAAACCTAATTGGCGAAATCAATATTAGGTTTCGCCACGAACACTGATTTCACCGCTTAGCACCGGTCTAAGTTTCTCAGGGGAACATAGCCTGGACGAGTGCCCGGTAGTTATTTATACGCTGGCTGACCGGCTCTACACATGCAACAGCCGTCCGATGATCTTTGAGCACGCGTTTGAGACGCTCCGATTGTGTGTTTTTTCGCTGCGATAAACCACTATTTATCTGATGGGTTAACAAGCACTTCAGAAGGCAGCCTCCCCTAAAAGAAGGCTCATCAGAAGGCAAAACCGAGCATTCACACCGCATCGCGGTTGAGCTTTTTTTTTTTTTGACACTTATATTCGAGCGCTACATCCTTTCACTCTTTCTGATGCCAAAGCATCATACTCGAGTGTCAGAAAGTAGATGCGCAAAAAGAAAAGAAAAGTATAAGTGGTCCGAGGCTCCCTGAGCCTCATGTCCATTTCCGACGACGTTTCTGCGGCCGTCTTGTCAAGGTGTTGCAACCATCCGGGGCGAGGCGTTTCAGGATGCCACTGTCTCTGTCCGAAATGATAATCCGTGAAGGACTAATGGTTGTCGTTAATGTAGTTGCTCGCATTATACCTGGAAAAGCCCTAAGTTGATCATTTGTGAATTTGATGAAAACACGTCGTCTTTTAGCTTTACATGCATGAGTGTTGCTTGTTGATTGTACACGCTTTTTGCATATAGATCGAGTATTTTCGGTTTCAGATGCGCAGTGATGCTGACTTGGGATTTGGACAAGCCTGCGTTCGACCAGTTGTTGTTCAGCAAGCTCATGCGTCAATGACATGTTGACATCGCGATGACCTGGATATATAAGAGCTTCATATAATGATTGTTGTTACAATGAACAATGTGTATCATGTTTGCCGATCGATTCGTTTGCGGGTTGTAATTTATAATGTCCATTGGTCTTCTTGTTTCCAATTTCCATATCAAAATTGGAAGTTGAAGTAGTTCTGCTAATACATTGATCTCAAGTTGAGTCCCCCATTTTCCATCTTGGCTCATATAGTTGATATTAGATTCAGCGTCCGGAAACAGTTGAAGTGGGTTAACGTTTTGCAGGTCCGGAGCATCCGGGCGATCAGGTTTCTGGCAGAAATTTGCGTATAATGAATATCTTTCCCAGTTCGCTGCTATACGACAGACGCATCTTCGTCGCAGGTTCATGTGTTGAATTCCGGGCATGCAACAAAGATTGACCGAAAGAGGCAGTTGCCATCAGTTTCGATGCCAAGTCTTGTGAAATTCTGCGTGAATATGTTGCTTTGTGGCACAAAAGATGACCGTTGAAACTGTTGGCGGACAATTTGTGATGATTGATTTCGTTCAAGTGGCGCTTGCGTTGTAGGTGATAGCTCATTTGTCTTCTGATGTTTTTGCTTAGATTCTGACATTAGTCTCTTTCGTTTGGAACGGATAGATTTCTCTTGAGTGGCAAGTTTTTCGAATAGCAATGCCGATTTTTTTAGATTTGATGCTGAATCAAATGAGTTTTGAGCTTGAATCAACTTTTTCTTCTTCTTTCTGACGGCCCCGGGTTGAGTCGTATTCTTTGATGCTAGATTACCGAGCTTCACCATGTTTGCAGCAAAATCATCATCATTGAGTTCGTGAAGAGGTACTGGTCGCGCAAAAGACGAAAATCTAGCACGGAAGTCAACACCAGCGATTGTCATTTGGGAACATCTAAACTGCCAAAGCTTTTGATAAGAGGTCGCCAAATGTTCATGAATCATGCAACCAATAAATTAAGGATGCAACTTTTGTCATGCAGAAAGCTTTCAAGCCAAGAGCGAAATTGTATTGAAAGTTGCGACGCGCTCAATAATCTGTATGCCTCTAGATCATTCAAAGCAGGGAAAATAATATCTGCAACTTTTTCTTGCACTATCGCTTCGGTCGGACAAACGTGATTTGCTAAAAATGCCGAATCGCTCAATTCCTTAAGAATAAACGTTACTTTTCCGACTGTCTCTTCTTTGATTGCCTCCCGGGATGGTGTGAAATGTGGACATTGAAAGAACACATGCTCAATATTGTCGTCGTCGGCTTGGCAAAATTGGCATTTACAAATCGGATATAATTTGGGATGAGTCAATTTTAATCGATGATTTGTAGGTAGCGTCCTACCAAGGCATTGAATAATGAACCGTTTCAACGATTCTTTGCCACATTTTTTATGGAGAATCGAAAATGATGCTTCCTGCAAAATATTTTGCGACAGCATATACAAGTGCCACTTTCCTCGGAAGTTGTATTGTCTATATGAT